GTCCAACTCCAATTAGTATGAGGCCTTTTGGGAAGGAGCCTAAGAACAAATCCGTGCGGGCTTTGCCTCTGGCCCAAAGCGGACAATATCATACTAATAAAGGAGTTGGACATGGGCTTGAAAAACCCCAATACTAGAGGCTCTCGTCACTTCTTTGAAAAGCGGATAGAAACGAATGATTCTTGGTATATTTTGACATATCATAACCCATCTCAGCATCTGCTTTGTCACCAGGGAGGCAGAGTAATGTTGCTTCCTTGAAATGAGAGTGAGAAGAACCACCTGCAAGATTTTTCATTCTCTTATGCGACATGTCACAATCAAAAGTAGATGTCATACTAAAGGAAGTAAGTGAACACACCTGAGGAATTGGGAGAACGGAAAGAACGTCAACAATGAAATAAAAGAGAAAACGTCTTTTTCTTGTAGCCTTAGAATGCACGAAAATCTCGCCTCTCAAAGAGACTTGTGACCGAGGAGCAATAAGCCCGCTTATAAGATAAAAAATGATGTGAAACACATAGAATGTGTCGATAGATGTACGAAGGACACAAACGGCTACTCCAAGCTTCTTGTCGAAAGTGAGGCAGGATCTATGAGGATCAATCACAGGGATAAAGAAAAACAGAGGATCAATAGCCAAAGCAGCCACGCAAACGAACAGGACGGTCTTCCTCCAGTTTTCAAGTGTTTTCATTTTCATGTAAACCTTCTTGAAGTTCCCTTTTACATATAACATAGTTTAAGAATATCTCTCCAGATTCCCACTATCAGACCTGCATCAACAAGATATCACTACAGAGACAAGACAACTCTTTGTTCGATTCTATTAGATATATACATTTAAATAGATAATCAAAATCCGAAGCCACCTCACCGATTTACTCTTATAATTTATTATTCTTTCTCTCCAGTAGAAGAAAATGAAGTCCACTCCGTCTTCTCTCCTCTCTCTTAGATAAGATGATGTTTTCACCAGAAAAGTCAGCCTACGGTGGGGCTCAACAGCAACTCTTATGATTTATTTTCCACCGTTACTCGGTTTGTAATTTGCATGGAAAATAGCGAGAAGGTGGGGTTGTTGCTGTCGAGCCCCACTGTAATAAGTCCAATTCAACGAGACAGACCCTAGCATGCACTCGTCAACGTAGTACACTATCACAATCCAATTTCTATGTTCTTTTTCGTCCTCGTACTTTCACCATTTATAATATCCGTTCGATTCGGTTCGGTTTTTTGGAGTTTCAAGGTACACGTAATGATTAAGTTCAGTTTGGTTATGGTTATGGTTTGGTGAATTGAAATTTTAGTTCAGTCTTATCAAAAAAAGAAATATTACTAATTTTATTTTTAAAAGAAGTTTGGTTTGTTATGTCTAGTTCGACTAACTTCATATTCGAATCAACATCCAAAATATCCAATCTTAAGAACTAGAATGCTAAACAATATTTGGACATTCGATACTAGATTTTGAGACGCGGCAAGCGTGGTATTAAATGATTGAATAAATTAATTAATCGATTTTAATATATATAATTTTTTAATATTTAAATGTTTATGACAAAGCATATGATTTCAAATATCTGAAAACATAGAAAAATGATATATATTGTGCATAAATGTAATAAAATTGAATACTTTTGATCAAGCATATGTTAATGCTATCATTTTAATATTTTTATTTGTAAATTGATCAAACATATGCAAATATTATTTATTTCAATATCTTTTAAATACAAATTGATCTTCATTATTCGTGTAAATTATAAAACATACGATAAATCAGATAAATTTGAGATTTGTATGAATTTGTCGGACATAACAAACAGAAAAAGTATATGTTTTTCAATAATGAATTT